GGAGGAGGAGGAGGAGGAGGAGGAGAAGAAGAAGAAGAAGAGGCGGAGGAGGAGGAGGAGGAGGAGGAGGAGGAGGAGAAGAAGAAGAAGAAGAGGCGGAGGAGGAGGAGAAGGAGGAGGAGGAGGAGGAGAAGAAGAAGGACTGTAGATGTAAGAAAATAGAGACAAGCATAGAATCGCCACGAAGCTTAGAACGAAGGAACAGGAGTTTACATTTTGTATAATGAGAGATTTTTTTGTGATCTGTATTAAGAGGAAAGAAAAATCCCTGCTAAAAGGGTGTTGTAACACATTCAGATTAAGTAATGGACATGGTTAAGTGTTCCCCGTGTAATTCAATTGAAAAGTTGGCCTTTGGAACAGAAGCATGTCCACATTTACATTTTAGCAAGGGGGTTTCCTAAACCTTCCTCCCACAGTTCAGCTCACTCTTTTTCCAATCAAAACAGTTCACTTTTTCTCCAATCAAATGCTACTCATTTGAAAGACAAACCGAATGAGGAATATTTAACATCAAAGGTGGGGTATCCGTTCCTCGGGCTTTCTAAGACAGCAGCTGGATTGGTCCTCAGCCAGCATCCTTTTTAAATGAGTCAGCCCCATCATTTGCAAACACCCCCCCAAGGAGGAATATTAAAATTGCTCTTACCTCCTGCCATATTTTCGGCTGGAGTAAGAAGTCCCAAGGTGGTTGTGCCATCAGGTTTCCTTCTCTCAAACTCACACTGAAAAAGAACAAGCTATTGTAGCGAGTCAAGAGATTAAAAGAAGGATTAAAAGAGTACGAGGAGGAGCCATTTTTTAAGGCTAGCGGCCAACTCTTAACCCAGGTAGCATCAGACAAAGATTTGGATTAATGTCAGGGTTCCAAGTAACACCCCCAACGAAAGAAGACTCCGAAGCTTGAGGTTCCTCAAAGTTCCACTTTATTAGAGATGTCATATTGGCACATTTGGGAAAAGCCAAATCTGAAAGGCTCCAGGTTTTCCCCACCCAAATCAAAGTTCAAGTCCTTGCCCAGCACCCACATGTCCATCACGTGATCCATTCAGGCACCATCCAACTCTGGAGATGCCTCCCAGTCACACCCCTCCAGTTGCAAGCCAGGATGTCCTTGACTCTCTGAGAAAGGAATGTTATTTTGACTATCTCTCTCCCATACTGCATATAATCCCCTCTCCCATTTCCCCACAGTAGAAAATGTGGCAGGCCTGAAGGCCCAAATGTAAAATATGGCTTCTAGGAGTACAAGGAGGAGCCTTTTTACCAAGTTAAAAAAAACCACCTAAGTACTGTATTTTTCGGAGTATAAGACGCACCTTTTTCCTCTCCTAAAAGAGGGTGAAAATGTGGGTGTGTCTTATACACTGAATGTAGCCCCACCCACCGGCCCCAACCCTTTGGCCTCTGCCTCCCAGCAATTTACCTCTTTGCAGCAAACTGAGTGGGAGGGGGGTGGCTTGCAGAGGCTTCAATAAGCTATAGCAATCCCTGCAGCCTGAAACAGCTGATGATCGGGAGAAATTGAAAGTGAAACTTGCTTTGAAACAAGATTTGCCTAAGATGCAAGAATGGACATTGAAAGTAACAAACCTAGCTGAGATGGCTAAAATATCTGCATATCTTAAGGACCATTCAGATGAGAAATACAAGCTGGAATGGAGAAGATGGATTGATTATATTCAAAATAAATACGGGACTAAGAAATTTCAGATAGCTTATGATTAAAGAAATTAGGAATGATACAAATTGTTTAGAGTTAGCCTAGTAAGGAGGAGTTAAAGCTCAAGTGAAAGATGTTATTAACTTTTTTTCTTTTTAAGCTTATTTAGGCATGTTTTGGTTAAAGATTTATACCTTGTGTTGGTTCTGGGAAGTAAATATTTGTAAAAGCTTGTTTTTTAAAATTTTCAATAAAAAAGTGAAACTTGCTGTTTGCTCCACATGGCAAATTGCTGAGAGGCAGATTGTTTTTTCTTCTGCTAATCAGGCTGTTTTCTGCAAGGAGGTTAAGTCAACAACTATAAATGCCTTTAGAATGTTCAAATTATTAGACTTATGTTTTAAAGACTGCTTTACAGGGCGGGGCATAACCTTTTCCTAGGGGGTCACAGCAACACTTGTAATAACAACACAAATAATTCATACACCATTCGAAAGCCCATCAAAAACTGAGTTTATTGACACGATTTAATAGTCAGTATGACCACCATTAGCCCTTCGAACAGCATTCAAACAAGGTGGATAAGAACACAACAAATCTTCAAACAGTTCCGTTCGATTTTCCAGATTTTTCAACACAGTTTCCAAATTCATTCTCAAAGTTTCAACCGAAACAAATTTAACATTTAATAGCTCATTCAATTCAGTTTTTTATGGGCTTTAAAATGAGGTGTCGTGGAAGTTGTAAACTGCTGTCGATCTTGCTGTGACCCCCTAGGAAAAGGTTATGCCCCGCCCTCTGGAAAATCTGGAAAATCGAACGGAACTGTTTGAAGATTTGTTGTGTTCTTATCCACCTCGTTTGAATGCTGTTCGAAGGGCTAATGGTGGTCATACTGACTATTAAATCGTGTCAATAAACTCAGTTTTTGATGGGCTTTCGAATGCTGTATGAATTATTTGTGTTGTTATTACAAGTGTTGCTGTGACCCCCTAGGAAAAGGTTATGCCCCGCCCTGTATTATTGTTCTAGACAATTTAACAAAATGAAGAAGCTTTTTAAAATAAATGCTTGATCTGAAGAGGCCCAGTGCTATTGTTTTAAAAAGTGCTATTCTTTTAAATAGCAGAGAATAACTATACACAAAGCACATTAATTTTAACAGCCTCTATACAATATAGTCAGAAATATAACACTACAAACATTGTATATTGCCTGTACTGTTTGTTGCAAGGAGGAAATTGCTGGGAGGCAGAAGCAGATATTTTTCCCTTGTTTTCCTCTCCCAAATCTAGGTGCGTCTTATACTTCGGAGCGTCTTATACTCGGAAAAATACAGTAACTCTTTTGCTAACCGTTTCAAATTAATGGAGATTTGGAGGGATGCTAATGTTTAAAGCATTATGTTGAGAATCAGAGTGTGGAAACTGAAGTTTTCTAAACGTTTGGTAAGGTTCGTCAGCTTACCTGAGTGTTAGCAGAACGTTTGGTCAACTTTCCTCCGGAATCTTTAATTATACATTCAATCAGTTCTTGTTCCTTCTCTAAATTACTGTTCCTAATTTTTTCTTCCAGTAGTTCTTTCTCTTTTCTGGGAGAAAAAAAAATGGCATTAAAACCCACATAAAAAAAACCCCAATATACATTATTTTGATTCCTTTTAGAACGTAAAAGATTTTAAAACCGGTGTGGTAAGAAAAATGCACAGTCCTTTGGATATTGGAAATGGTAAATGCTAATAATTGGTAACAGCAGCTAGTAATTGTTATATTCTTCATCAGGTTTTTTGGGGGAGGTTTGCACTAAGTGCTTCCCAGTTGAAAGGATTGGCCTGTGATATCATTGTTGCCTGGAGGAATGTCCTTTCATATCTCCGGCAGGAGCTGGAGCGAAGGACGGGAGCTCACCCCACCCCGTGGTAGCACCTGGGTTTCGAACGCCAGCTTGTTGCTTGTCAAGCCAGTGCCCTAATCACACAATCCATTGTGCTCCTCTTCATCAGTTAAAAGAGTGAAACCGACATTTAGTCAGTAAGGTGGATGCATATCAGGAATTGGCTTCATTACACAAGCTTGTCATTGCCTCTGGATTTGCTAACCTAATTAGAAAAAGAGTTTGAATATCTTGAAACAATACTGCCTTCTTCCTGGGAGTGGTACGATGGCCTAGAGGTGGAGCTCTCGCCTCACAATCAGGAGGCTGTGGGTTCAGTCCTAGATAGAGGCAGATGCGCACCATGAGAATACACATCTGCACTGCACTCCGCACTGGCGACAGGGAAGGGCATCGGGCCAGTAAACACTCCCCTAGCTCCATTCAGTGGCCCAGACTCCACCCCGCAAGGGATTATGGGGTCGAAGATGATTGCTTTCTTACTGGGGCTGAGAGAGGGTGACTGGCCAAGTTTATCCAGCCGGTTTTGTGTCCAAGACAGGACTAGAACTCACTATCTCCCGCTTTCTAGCCGGCCACCTTAACCACAATACCAAATTGTCTTGCACAGTTTCCAGCTCCTGATTCTACTGAAATTGGGGGGAAGGAGGGGGGGGGGAATCAGCTTCTGGGGAAATATAATCACTTTTTGAAATCTTTGATGGGACTTTTAAAGGCTCTGAGGTCTATGTCTGTGGTGTCTCCATCTTTTCCAACACCATCATCCTCTTCTCCCCCAGATTGCAAGCCGCTTTTGTCCGCCTGCTTCCTGCTTTTCTGAAGATCTGCCATGAAGTCAATGCTTTGCTTCAAACTCTGAATTCGTTCCTAAGGAAACGAAAACACAGAACGTAAATTCGCCGTTTTATTCCTACCAGCTGAAAAAAATCGATGCAACTCAATGAATTAGGTGCCTAATTTTCCAGCCCTTAAAAAGGACGTATTCGACTAGAGACGTTTTAGAAGAGTCCATAATGGTTTATTTTTTTCCCCCCTTCAAATAGATGATCCTAAGAATTAAATACCGTAAAGCAGTATTTCTCAACTTTGGTAACTTTTAAAGATGTGTTGGACTTCAACTCTCAGAATTCCCCAGGAAGCATGGCTCGCTAGAGAATTCTGGGTGTTGAAGTCCGCATCTATCTTAAAAGTTCCCAAGGTTGGGAAACATTTCTACCAAGCATGTTTTGCAACACAATTCGAATGAGTTTACTCCAATGTCCTATTTATGTCAACGAGACTGTTGTGTCCCGCCAGCAGACAGCAGAGCTGACAGCAGATTCGGACAGTGAGGAGATTGGGGAGGAACATGGGACAGTCATGGAATCTGGTGAAGGCTTTGACGAGTCTGCGTCGGAGGCAGAGATGGGATCAGGGCAGTCCGACAGTTATCAGTTGCCTTCGGAGTCGGATATCAGTGGGGCAGAAGAACTGGAGCCTGTTCCCCTGTTCCCAGTGGGCGCATGCACAGAGTTGCCAGATGAAGGGAACAGCTAAAGAACAAGGGTTGACTTGGGATCAAGGCCACAGGTAGATGGTGGATGCACGCACACTCCCCCCCCCCACATAGGGAATAAAAGAGAAGTGAAAGGAGACGGGTGTTTGCAGGAGTTCATTCCTTCATTCTTGCGGCTTCTGAAAGATATCGGCTTGGCCACTCTCCAAGTCTGATAAAGGTCCTTAATTGTGAACTATCTTGAAAGATGATGGGAGAGGAAAAACTTTGCTGGAGAGGAATTCACTGTAAATTAAATAGGGAGGAGGACTT